CCCCGCCTGCACCCTGCTAGCACCCCACCTGTACCCTGCCTGCACCCCATTCAGCCCCGCCTGCACACTGCCTGTACCCTGCCTGTAACCCGCCTGCACCCCATTCAGCCCCGCCTGTACCCTGCCCAACTCTGCTTGCACCCCACCTGCACCTGACCCAACCCAGCCTTCACCCCTACACGCTGCCTGCACCCTGCTCAACTCTACCTGCACCTCACCTGCGCCTTTCCTGCACCCCGCACCCTGCCTGTACCCTGCATGCACCCTGCCCAGCCGGCCACGCCATCACCCCCTCCCTGCATCCCTACACCCCAAGCTCTGCTCCCGCTGGCAGTGGATGAGGTGCTGCAAAACACCCAGAGGGCCTCCCCACGGAGCCCACTCACTCCTCTCCAGGGCTGGGGATTGTGGGGGTGATGCCAGCGGTGTCGGTGTCCAGCCCCCCTCGGTAGCAGGGCTCTGGGCCCCTTCAGTGCCTGACTCCAACCCACACCCGCTCTGCCAGGCCAGGGATGATGCTGAAGGGCCCTGGGGACCCCTGGGGACACCCAAGGACCGGGCACACCTGGCTTGACTTGGCAATGCGTGTGTCCTGGCCAAAACCCACCAGCTGGAACGTGGGGGAGGAGATCTGCTCCTACCTCTGCCCGCACTGGCCCCGTGGGCTGGGGGCAGCAGTGCCTGGCCCTCCGGGCTGTGGTTTGGTGGCTGGATACGGCCCCAGCAGTGGCTGAGGCCCCAGAAGAGCACAGGGGAGTCCCTGGGGCGGTCAGTGGGTCATGGGTGCTGCAGAACCCCAGGTCCAGGGGTTTCGGGGTCCCGAGGGGCTCAGTGCCCCCCAGGCTGGTCCCAGGAGCAGCGCAGGCTCAGGACAGAGATGGGGGATTGTGGGCAGCGTGGCTGGCTGTGGCCGAGGGCTGGAGACCCCACTGGGGCTGTGCTGAGCACAGGGGGGCTCCTTCGCACCCTGGCATGCCCATGGGGCTGCGTGGCTGTGCTGGGTCCGGCCCTCACCCAGAGTTAGTGCCAGGTGAGAGGGTTGGGGGTGCAGAGTGGGTGCCACAGAGCCCTGGGGCAGGCGCCCGCGGTGGGGAGGCGTGGGGTGGGCAAGGCTGGAGGTGCAGCCTTCCTCCTGGGTGCTGGGTCGAGCCAGGCGACCTCAGGCCACCGATGCAGGATGGGACACAAGGGGACAAACTGTGACCTGGTGCACAGCATCTCCGTGTCCACCCCAAAATCCTCCTCAGCCCCTCTTCTCTCCTGCAGCTGCTCATGTGCCAGTCCCCAGTGCTAGCCTTGGGGCATGGCACAGCCATGGGGCATGGCACAGCTGCGCATCATGGCACAGCCACGTCCCTGCCCAGCCACCAAACAGCTCTGGCTGCGGGATGCCTGTCCCCAGCACTCGCAGCACCCACACCCCCCTGCACCAGGGCTGCCCCCGGTCCCTGCCCCAGGG